TATGTACTCAATTGTGCCTCAAATTACGCGTCATAACAGTGAGACAAGGAAAATAACAAACACTAAGTAATCAAAAGGAGTGAAGTTAGAGCATCATCTTAGTAGTCTAAAAGGAACGGTATTCAAACAAAGTATTAGTGCTCAGAAAGTCGAATGAAGTAAAGGGAGGAAGATACGCCTGATAGTTTTGAAAAGATTATTCAAATACTTTCTGTCTCGATTTTTTGCCTGTCCCTCGATTTCGATTCGACCAGGAATTTTCGGCAACCATCAAGATGCTAATTCAAAAGTGGATGTCGGATATCCGATCGATTGAAATTATGATGATCACAGGTGCGGAGGTGCCGACCTCGATTTCAACTATGTGTGTCTTTCTAAATCGCCTCGGTTGAAAGGATTTTTTTTCATAATGTATCTCACTTTGGGTTTCTGCCAATCTCAAATCCCAACAAGGCAAAACTCCTATTAATCGATCGAGATTTGGAGCACGCACCATCGGCTCCTGGATTAGAATAGAGAAGTCTGATGCTATATAATTAAAAGGTTTCAAAGGGAAAGGGAAAGATGCTCCTACGTCGGGCTTCTTCGGTAGTGGAGCTCTCGATTCCCCTAAAAGGGTGGGAGGGGCTTATTGGGTGAAGTGGAGGCTGTGGACAATGTTTGAATGTTTCCATGTACTACTTATCTGTTTACTTAGCCTGACGGGTATTTAAAAAAATCATGTATAACGTCAGTAGATGAGTGCGTCCTGGAGACAAGGTGGGTTGCGGGACCCTGACCGTTGGACGTGTTGACCCAGACATATCTATTCGATATGTGTTTCCCCTGGTCCCAATCCTCGAGCCAGAGCATTCAGCGAAGCTTCAAATATCCTGTAGAGCATGGGAATCTAGTAGCTGCGTCAACCTCTCCTTCCATCATGTCTACAATAAATCGCCGAGAGGGCAGCAAAGCGGAATTTGAATCTTAACACATTCTAGTCAATTTTTCTAGACAAACCCTACTTTTTTAGCGACTACTAAGTAGCTGGGCAATATGCAGCGTGGACTTTAGATTCATAGCTACTATTGTTCGACTTCTTGTATCATCAGCACGAAAAGCGATTCAACGCTGACTAATCGATTAGAGCAATGCTCTAAAGTCTGTACATGCAGGATCTAGCTTGTACAATTACTTGCGAGACCGACCGATATTCATCTCAGGTGTGACTAATCCGTTTGTGCCACTCATGACAGTACAGGGTGGGGCAAAATTACTGGTGCACCTATACGTTTTGAATTTTTTAACACTTCTTGGAGATTTTCCTGTTTCACTCGCTTGTGATATGTTGCCTGGAGGTTGCGTAATTCCTACGTACTCGAATACAAAATGGTCCGTCGTTCTGACCTACGGAGCGCGATCATCAAACTTCACAACGACGGCAAGCAAACAAGAGAAATTGTGAAGATCCTTTCCGTACCTCGAAGGACGGTTCAGAATACAGGACAGGGAAGGAAGAAGACGTCCCACAACAGTACGAGTCGGAGAAATATGAGGCTCGTCAG